TAACCACAACGCAATCTCCCGGCTCAGGCCATGCCAGAAGATGCAATGACACAGAGAAGACCTTCTGTGTGAATGGCGGTGACTGTTACTTCATACATGGTATAAATCAGCTGTCCTGCAAGTGAGTAATTTTGTATTTTACCTGTTTTTACTCAGTGTTCCCACTAATGTTATTGTGAGAGCTATTGCTAACATCACATGTTTATTTCCATGTTAGTGCTCCAGCTCTGTCCTCCTCCTCTGCAGCAGCAGCGGTGCATCACAGCAAAGTGCTGCCCATCTGCTTAATGACCCACCTGTTGAGCTCGGTTTTTGTGTATCTTAACACTAATAATGGTGCTGTGCTCATCCTTTTAAGTCCAGTTTGGTGTACAGCAGGGTCCAACATTAAAAGCCTTTTCAAAATGTCATGAGTCACTGAGTTTAGTGGGGAGCAAATATTTATGCCTCTTGGAGGCCCCCTGTGAGGTAAATAGAATCACTGCTTACATTGAAGGTCCTTGGCAAAGCAAGTTTTCGCCCACATGCAGAAGAAAAGTTTGAGTAAAAATGTGGACTTTATGCAAACACCATTGATTTGAATTCTGGGCAAACATAAAAACAGATTGTATTTGGCCTGTGATGCTAACTATTGCCTTGTGAATTCTGTTTGACCACGTGTCAACATAGCATAAGTCAAGGATGGTTAAACTGAGAGCTGATATATTGGCGATGCTTTTGTGCCCAGTTGGCCCAAGGAAGAATGCTCGACAAGCACTGAGGACATGGTTGCAACAGCCGTTCAATACGCTGTGTACAAATTGGAGGCAGCAATAACTCAATTGCTGCAGCTAATTCACTCAGGGCCAGGGCACAGCTCCAGAAAAGTTGGATAATGCAGTGGAGGCCTGCAGGGATTTGTTGCACCTCAGCCATCTCATTCAATATAGGCCAAGCTTCAGTGGGCATTACTCACAGGCCAAACCACCGCCATGGACAGTCAGACCTATTTTTAAAGGTCCTTTCTGTACTTTCTACACTCTTCATGTTATAAAGTGCTCTTGAAACATCTGAGGTTTATCTATACTGTCCTCTCAGTCATATGTAGTCATTCAAATAAATAGGGTTTGGTATAGTTAGAAGAATTATTACCAATGGGTATCTTATTTTTCATTTTGACAAAATGCAAAGATAAAACTCATTTCGAAATTATGTAGAGACACTATTTTGGCTTTCATCTACCAACAGTTTCCCCTGTCTAGGTGGTACTATTCCCTGTAAGGCAGCATCACTCTGGCTGAGTAATTTAGGGCTAAATGTTATGGTGCTCCTGGGAGACATTGTGTGTAACCAGTAAATCATGAGCAGTGACCTTTGTTAGAGTGGTGGTCTGCTTGTGACTGCTAGAGGAATGTGCATCCCCCAAAGAAGTAGTCTGTCCTCAAGCCACTGCAACCGCAAAGTTCTATTGCCAGTCATCACCTATGAAATATGTATTGACAGAAGCGTTTGGCCCTTTGTCTTAGTCAAACACTGTACATAGTTTTAGTTAATTAAACACTTCCTAGGCTAATAGTGCAACTCTGTGTGTGTCTGTAAACACTCATTTGATACAGTGGCTTGTGAATTAATTAATATTTTACACACACCATTTATTCAGTACATATGCAAGCATTTAGTAGCCCTGATGATCTCTGCTATCTGTCAACATTGCATTGTTGTGTCCATGAGCAAGACAACTGGCCCACCTTGCCTGTATGAAATGATGGTACTCAAAGTAGCAATTGGCAGCCAGTGTCTCTCAGCATGCCCCAGGGCAGCTCTGGCTGTATGCTTTATGTGTACCTTAAATTTGAATCCAGTCTATAACGTTTATCAGTTGTGTAAGTACATCATCTTTCATGTGCATGTGTACTCATTACTCAATGTGTGTACTCATGTATAAAACACGTATAATGTGGATATTGACTGGTTTCAAATGTGTTTTCCATTTCTTTATATAATTAGTGAAGGATTTAAAGAGTGTTGTCACTTTCTAGGAAAGACTTTGCCGTGGTTCTTTGTTGTTGTGTTTTACAAGCTGTTTTCTGATGTGCATTGACCTTTACTGATGTGTGTGTGAAGCAGATTGATGTTCATAATATTTACAGTGCACCTCAGTTCTTGTGTGTTCCTTCTCATAACACTTGTCTACTCCTTCCCAGATGTCCGGACGGATACTATGGCCCCCGCTGCTTACAGACCGTGCCGCTGCGGCTGTACATGCCCAATCCTTTCAAAAGTATGTAGAGCGGGCAGCAGGGACACTCTCTCTCTCCTCCTCTCAGGTGGACTCACAGCGGGCTGCGTTCTTCACACTGGTGGTGTTACCCCGCGGACACTCTGCTTCTGCTGTCCATAGTTATGCTCTGGTTCTAACGGGTGTCTCTCTCTCCCCCCTCACTCTCTTCCTCACATTTCCTCTCTGTCCACCCTCCTCCTCCCTCTCCTCGTGTGGCTTGTGTTTCTTCCATCAGGTGTCCAAATGACTTTACTGGTGATCGCTGTCAAACCTACGTTATGGCCAGTTTCTACCGTATGTCAATTTCCTCCTCTGTGTATGTGTCAGACTGCCATGTGACGTATGCATGTTAGTGTATTTGAAGTTATTTTGAATTAGCAGAGTGGTGTGTTTTAGCTCAGATACTGTGCATACTAATGACGACAAATTGCTTAACTTAGATTGATTTGAAATTTTAAAGCTTAAATAATTTGAAGTTACAGTTATTTAAACCAGACATTGGAAATATTAGATTTGAGACAGGTATGCCATTAGTTGTAACTACCTGTAGTGGTGTAACTACTTACGAAACTTTATAGGTAAAAACGTGAGTCTGGCTGTAAGTCGTAGTCAATAGTTAGTTAGTATAATGACTACTGATGTTGTGTCTGCATGTGATGTCTGTGCTTGAAATGATAATGCATGTGCACTTAGAATAAGTTATATAGTAATCTGTTGGATTTAGATGCTTTATGTCATCAGTTGTGCACAGCTGCATGCCACCAGTAAGATTACTGACATAGACATTACAGTAGTAATAGTCCTGACCAATAGCACGTACATGCATTTTAAATATGCAAAAAGATATCACATGTTACCAGTTCAAACCTGTCAAAATATGAGAAGAAATAAACAAAATAGATCTACTTTCACTCCTGGGTTTTCCCCATATTACTTCCTGGGAAAATTATCAGGATTAGACTGGCGCATGGGCCAAAATGCAAGTAAAAACACCATGAACTTCCTTTAGAGAAAGTTCTGTGTCCACAAATATGTTTAATTAGATAATTGTTCTTACAAAAACGTCACATTTGTACATGTCCTTAGTCCAGGGTTCACTTGTTACAGCACTGCAATCCAAGTGCTTTCAAACTATTTCAGCCTGAGGTAGTAGAAGTCAAGCCAGCACCCCTCCACAGTGTAGTGCCAGCAAACACATCAATCAAGGGCAGAATTATACTCCAGCTAGATGGAGGTTTGTAGAGAACTGCAGGCAAAAAGATCATGCCCTGAAGGCTTTAGACATTAACATGGAGAATGCAAAGAAGCTCACTTGCAGATCATGTATGCAGCTGCAGCAAATTAAACATTTAATTCATAACCACATATAAACATCCAGATATGCAGCCAGGACTTCAGTCACTCAGTGTTGTTTTTATACAAATTACTGTAATGATCTTAGAGACGAGAATCAAAAACAAGCCTTATAATTTAGGTCAGCTAACAGCAAAGCAGCCTCCAGTGTCTTCCTGCATATTTGTCAGCATCATGTCTTTACAGGCCCATGTGGTTTCAATATAAGGCAGCAATGAGTGAACAGTGCATCTGCATTTGGAGTTAGTGATGCTGAGCGCTGGTTCTGTAGCCAGACTCTTGTATGTTGGCCCTCTGTGGGATGTGAAAAAGCTTTTCTTAACTACAACTAATTCCATCTCACATTAAGTCATAATGGACAAGGCTGAAATCACTTGTCTTTTTGGCAGTGCAGACAGACGTGGTGTGTGGGAGCTACACTCACTCTTGTTCAGCACAGCTGTGCAGATACATCAGCGGCACTGTTTATTTGCAATGGTTAACTGCAAACTCACAATTAAGGCTGTTTCACAGACTTCAGTATAGATGTACAATTCAAAACTCAGGATTTAGTCAACGTAAATAACACACATAGAGTTTAATTATACATGATTCAGAACTTATTATTTAGCATAATAACCGTTAAACTTATTTTACGTCACTCCAATGAAAAATTAGGTTTAGTTTTATACAAACTTTGGTTAAAATATGAAAGTAATATTGTGACCTCCAGGCTGTGACTGTTTATAGTAATACACGGTGTTAACATCAATAATAGATGAATTTCCTTTGGAAACTACTCCATATTTCATGTGCTCTAGTTTCTACTTGTAATTAGGGAAGTATATTTTATTGGTGAGCACAGTGCATTCACATGCATTTGCACACATGTGCTCACACTTACTCTTACTTACTACTAAGGCTGGCCTCCCCTGACCACCTCCCAGTCCCATGAGATAGCGGCCAAGAGGAGGATGGCTTCTGCTCTTCAGCCATAAGGGTTTGGCGTAGCACGACTATGTTGTCATAAGAGCAGCTGGGACCTGCTTCAGCCCAGCTAAGGCCTGTGAGCTGCAGTTATGCACTCAGCTGGTAGGTCCAACCTTCCTATGGCCTCCGTGCTGTTTAATATAGGAGCCCACTCTAATTCTTCTTAGTCAGTGTGATTAGTGCAACATTGTGCAGATCCACTCCTTGTAACTTGCCTGTTCATGTGATGGGTGTGTTCAGGAACGGAGACTGTAGCGTTTTTAGAAAGCACAAAACTCCAAACGCGGGTGCTGACGGATTATGACGCATACTTTCCCTGCACACTTAATAACAGTGGCTCTACTAATGCCTTTAATTCCCATTTTGGGATATTATTTTGTTCTATAAACACTGAATCCAACATAGAACATTTAAAACTGTTTGAAGTAGAAAGATTGCCTCGTGAGTTTGTGTGTTGTGTGTGTAGTAATGCATGTTCCACTATATTTTAATCATGTACTTTGTCATGACTAACTACACTTTTTATATAAGTGTTTTATTTGCTCCACTATTCAGAAGTACCTTTGTCTTAATCTGTTCTTTTGTCTCTCTTCTTCTGACTGTCCAACCTCTGCTATGGCAGAGCATCTTGGGATTGAATTTATGGGTATGAAACAGTCCATTTTGATTCTCAGTCGTGTTGTATTTGATGTCCTTCGTGACACTCCTCTCGCCTGTGGTCTGAACTCAATCATAACCGTCAGCCTGTTCATCAGTTATAGCAGAACTAATTGGCCTGAAAACTTTATAGTCGCCTGATTCTCCATTGAGCATCATTAACACAGATGTCATCACCGGATTGTCTCTTAATGTGCATCGGAAAAGTAGAATTATTAACTGTGTTCTTTCTTGAGTTGATTTAAGACCCTAAATCTGTCTGTATCAAGCATGATAGATCATGTTTGTAACTGTTTTTTCTCAGCCATAACTCTCTCCAGTCTTATCTCTGTGTCCTTTGATATGCCACCTCCCTTTTATTTATGTGTGATCTTGCTTTTAAATCTTGACTCTTATCTTTACTGGAATATAACTTAAATGTAATCTATATATTTTGAAATGATTTATATTTCCATGTAATGAGCATGCTTACCTGTTGAAATCCTATGGTGGTGGATGTTCTTTATCTGCTGCTATTTCAATGTTGTGACTTTGCTTTGCCTTCCTCCAACTCCTCCAGAAAAGTGCTTTGAAAGTTCAGAAGGTCTTTTTTATGTAGTTACCATAATAACAATTGTTGACACTGCGAACCTTGTCAAATATTATGTAAACCAATACCTACAAAGTCTAGGCTTCATTCAAGCACATTTCTGGCAGAAGTTAATGCCTCTATCTAATTTAGAGTTTATATTTAATGTCTGACCTGAGCAGATCAAGGCAAGTTGAATATAAACAAATCGTTATTGTTATATACATCCAAACTATTCGTGTTTCCTCTTTTTAATGCAAGGGTGCCCAAGAGCCAAAATTGGGGCATATTTTCGGGCTAAGGGGAAAACACAGCATTTTTTGTATGAAGATAATTTATTTAATTCAAAATTCTATCACTTGGGCTGAATTGAAGGGCCAACTTTGGCCCACGGGCCCCATTTTAAACATCCCAGTTTTAATGACTCAACTGACTTCCATCATTTGACTACCCTTTACAAAACGTAGTTAATATTAAAAATATGAAATGTAAGCTTCTGTCTGCTCAGGTTCTTACGTATGATATGTCAATGAAAGGAGTTCAGAATCCTGATTTTTCCTATGTCTGTTTGTGCATTGCGGTGGACAGAGGCAGAGGAGCTCTACCAGAAAAGAGTCCTGACAATCACGGGTATCTGTGTGGCTCTGTTGGTGGTGGGCATTGTGTGTGTGGTCGCCTACTGTAAAACCAAGTAAGTTGTTTCCTTGAGTATTTGTCATAGGATTTCCTGGACCATTAAAATATCTCATTCTGTGTTAAAGGAAACAAAGAAAGAAGATGCACAATCATTTGCGACAAAATATGTGTCCAGAACATCCCAATCGTAACTTAGCAAACGGACCCAATCACCCAGGACCTGGCCCAGAGGAGATCCCCATGGTCGATGTGAGTGCCCTGTTACTGTGCATTGCATTTCCAAATCACAGAAATTTAGTACATGGACTTTTTCTAACTAAACATGTGCCAAATCCATTTTTGAATCCAGTACATATCAAAGAATGTCCCAGCGACCGAGCGAGTCATAAGACCAGTAACAGAGGGCTCGTTTCCCGCCAGCCATACCTCTTCCAGATCTCACAACTCTTCCACACGAGCCCATTCGTCAACTCAGAGGTAACTGTCCAACCAGTGCTGGGCTAGCATACACCCCGCTATGCTGCTCAGACAAATGTGATATACTCTCATGATTACACCCGGGGTTGTTCTGAGCACTATGGGGGAAAGTATTTTTGGAATTTATTTAAGACATTCCTGTGCTTTCCAAATGGTCATTCGATTAGGGGTTTTGTTGGCCTCTTGTTGAATGGTAGTGGAGGGAGTTGGGTCAAAGCATACATTATTATTACAACAAAAATTCTATTCTATTTCTTTCTATTCCAAGTCTTTTTGGGTTTTTTTTAAAGAAATGTAGTTATTGTCATCTGCTATCTCATATAGTCTTAAAACAAGCCCAATGTAGCAATGTAGTCAGTAACACAGCAGAATTCCAACTCCTCCCATTCTCTATCATATTACATATAGTTCTATGCTATGAGAAATAAATAGGTACATCTCCCAAAGCACACACACATGAACATGTGGATAACAATTACATTTTCAAACCATGTGGTGTCTTTCCAGTAAAATGGAACCCTGTGTTTTGATAATTTAATAAAAATGTCATTGGAATGTGGTGGGTGGTGTGTGTTAACACGTCTTTATTTGTCAGACACGAGGAGCGGACATGGAGCCTGGAGCACTCTGACAGTATCCTCTCTGATTCTCCGGGAATGATGTCATCGTCAGTGGGGACCAGTAAATGCAGCAGCCCAGCGTGTATGGAGGCCCGGGCCCGCCGCGCTGCGCACTGTGGTTATTCGGACCCCCACCGGCCCCCGCTGCAGTATGGACACTCCTTTGACTCGCTCGGGGACTCGCCGCACAGTGACAGGTGTGCCTGGGACCGCCATGTTTGTGTGGGACAGTCTGAGAAAGTGCTCTTTTAGCTTCTCAGTCTGTATCCTGTGACAGTGACAAAGAACAGACTCAGTGATGTGGTGTTGAAAAGTAGATCAAAACATCTCTCGTTTTACTTTATTATTTTAACATTTGGATCTAGAACATGGTAATCCTGTGGTGTTTGTCACTTTGGAAGTTGATTTACATCCGTTTGGCTCTCATCTCTTCCCACAAATCAGTGGTTTCAAAAATTACAGTTTTGTTAAATCATCAACAGTTGGACAAGGACACGGTGACATCAGACCATTAGGAGCAAAGGTGGCACTGTGGGGATAATCTAAGTGACTGAAGTCACTTGGCAGAACTCTGTCCTGTGAGTGGGGCCATTCTCAGTACAACATGTTCAGTTTTATCAAAGTTCACTTGCGCATAGCACAGACCTCGCCTCTTTGGCCTTAAACTCCTGAAACCATATTGGGATAAGAAGAGATTTGTGCTGGAGATAATTTATGTTTGAGTGTTTCTTACATCTGCATTATAACTACACAGTAACATTCCACTGACCTTAGTTTTATAGTGAAACAGACCTTTAGTCTTCACATGTGTGTTATCTTGTCTTCTTTTGGTGACTTGTTGCACCAGCTGCTTTTAATGTAATCAAATAATTTTCAGAAAACCGCCTGTTTAAAACAAATAGCCGGTTTCCTGTTAAAGTCCAAACAGAGTTGAAGTTGTGTTGTAGAGACTGAACAAAGGTACAATAACAAACACACAACCATCTTGAGCATGTGCGCATCATTAGAGTTTGGCTGCCATGTTGTTGTCTTGATTACATAAGCAGCATCTATTGCAGAGTCACTTAAGGTAACACACATCTCTGCCATCTTCAAACACTCGCTGAATCAGCAGTGTTCTGCCTCCAGGGAGAGATCTCTAATAGTATCTGCAGTCTGTTCATGTTCAGTTTTAGATCTAAATCATGTGAAAACATTTTTTGTTGTTTTTGACAAAAATGAAGTACATAGGGATTTTGTTGTACTTAATTTTAATATTTTTGTGATGTTATTTGTGGTTTAAAGACAATTAGTCACATAGTATTTAGGTGTCTTTTCTTCTCAGACTAACACATGTCTGTCTCTCTTGCTCACAGATACGTGTCGGCGCTGACCACACCGGCACGCTTGTCTCCGGTGGACTTCCATTACTCATTGCCCCCACAGGTGCCTACTTTCCAAATCACATCTCCCAATGCCAGCCATGCCATGTCCCTGCCCCCAGCGGTCCACAACCCATACCCCCCCGAGGATGACCAGCCGCTGCTGCGCCGCTACCAGGTTCCCCTCCACGACGCACAGAGCCAGGAGCCCTACCGGCAGCAGCGTCGCACCTATCTGAACAACAGCCGGGGCAGCCTGCCCTCCAGCCCATACCGGCTGGCAGAGGATGAAGACTACGAGACCACCCAGGAGTACTTGTCCTCCAGGGAGCAACCAAAGAGAAGTGGGTCTAGTGGGTCCGGGGGGCGCCGCTGGCGCAGATCCAGACTGAATGGCCACGTGGCCCCGCGTGGATACGAGGCATCCCGGGACTTGGGCTCACGGAGCTGCCTAACAGATAGTGAGTCAGAGGAGGATGGGGAGAACACGCCCTTCCTCAGTATGCAGAACATGAACGCAGAGCCCTCCACCATCTACAGACCGGCCCCTGATACACGGACTTCACACAGTGGGAACTCGCATACAAGACTGTCACACGCACGCTCCAGACAGGACAATACTCCCCATTAGAGAGAGAAATGAACCAACAAATCAATATAGTATAGACCTGCATCTATAAGAAATATTTTTATTTTATATAACTGACAGATATTCTAAACAAATAAAATATTTATTTTCATTTTAGCAAAAGTTGTCTACTAGTAAACAGCAAAGACTTTTTTATAGGGAAAACTCTATTTATATGTACATTTTGATTTACAGCATAAAAAGATGTGCCAGTTTTTTCACAATGTTAAAAAATAGAGTAATATTGTGGTGCCTTTTGCTGTATGCGATGCCAGAGGGCCAGTGGAGGTTTTGTAGCCTTTCTTATATGGACGCCTCATTTTTTATACACATACATGTTTGTTTTCCTCTGGTTGATTTACCTTTTTTCCAAATGCATTCTTTGAGGAGTCTAACCCCACTGGAACAGAGCCCCTTCATTATCACGCAATATAAACCACTACAACATAAAGTGTATGTTTACATGACTGTGACTCGCCTGTAGGGATTGGATTTGGGATCTCTCCGGTAACCGCAGATCGTAGATTCTTGGATACTGTTTGAAGAGTTTACTAAAAGTGTGAGAGTGAGTGTGCGCATGTTGGCTGGCTTGCATGTATTTATGATTGTTAGATTAATTCTCTTGTTTGTTGTGGAAACATCAAATGTATGGGTGGCTGGGATCGCCATCAGGTTGACGGTCACCTGCCCCAAGTGACCCCGGTGTGGTTGAGGTCCAGAGAGAGTGCAGCCAACATACCAAACTTAGCACAGTTGTATGTCGCTGATTGCTTGGTTTGTCCACTGCCTTTCTTTAGACTTTCTTCCCCACTTTTCCCCCAGCAGGCCGCCTCTCCTCGCCTGTTCGTGTGTTGTGAGGTCAACACACACTGTGCTGCTTGGCCTGGGTTGACCCCTGCCAGTGGAGAGGGCAGCAAAACAAAACAAAAAACTGCTTTTTTTAGTCTTCTTCTCATGCAGCACTCCTCATGTCCATTGTGCTTCTTGTGGCTGAGTGATCGGCCACACAGTGTCTCAGGATTTACACATGCCCCTCCTAATCTCCCTTCTTCACCCTCTTCCTTAACTTCCCACAAGGTCTACCTAAGACTAAAAGGCTCTCTTGTCGAGGCCTAAACATACAGTCTACCAGTTTTCCCCATATATAGAGAGAGAAGGTGAATTGGATCGCGCTAGACAATATCGGTGAAATAGCTGTGAAACTACGAAAGATCATACAATGCAAAAATATGCAAACTTTCTATTTTGCTCTTTGATTACATCATTTTCTAAGAGGTGACTGTAGTGTGTTGTGTGTCTGTGATTCCTATCGTGTAGAAGAGATACCATAATATAATGCATATTTACATGAGTTATTTTAAAGCCATTATCCATCTATCCGTGGTCCGCCTTTTACTTGTTTAAATACTCACATTCATTGAATGATTGACTTATGTTATCACTGAATTATATCACTTAAAATGCACACTTTGAATAATGTCAACTAGCATCCAAATAGTCTTTCGTGTACCACTTTGTCTTGATGACAGAAACTAGTCAGTAAATAGTTTTAACAGTCCAAATGCCTACAAACCAGCTTAAATCACCATTAAGTTAAATGCTGAATTATCCAAATAATGTTGACCTCAAATATTGATCTGCAGACAGGTTAACTATGAGGCTCACACATCATAAACATCGGGTCAGGTCTTGTTTGTGTGAAAAATACTAAAGAAAAGAATGTCTTTACATGATTGTCCAGCAGTCGAGATGCCACAAGATGAGCCTGCCACTTCTCTGTTCATCTGACGACCCTTGCCCTTTGACCCCACAACCCCCCGCTTGAAACGTTTGAACACCTCTCCTCTGCATGTCCTTGTGGTCCAGGTTAGATGGGTGCATGGTAAAAAGCAGCAGACAATTCTTTTCCAGTGAAAGTGTATTTCATTTCACATTCAGCAATAAAAAAAGAGTCTCTTTCCCATGTCGTCCCTGAACTATCCTAGAAAAAAGAACAATGCGATTGTCATAGATTGTAAAATAAAATGGAAAATGATCCACCTGTTCATATGAGAAAATAAATCTTTATTCATATCATTTTACAACTGAGTTATTTGTGGGGAGACTTGTGTCTGGATTTATTATTCTGTCACTATCAGCTTTGACAACCTTCAGGAAACATAAAGTATGTAGTTCACGTAATGCCCCAATACAAACCTCACATTATTATTTGATGCACGAAAGACAATACCTTTCAAACATTTAGAATCAATGCAGCTTGTAATCTTAGCAGACATGCCAGCACAATGCCATGACTACAAGGTTCATAACAACTGCATATATCAAAGTGTTATTGTAAAAATCCCAGAGATTTTATTAAAGGCTAATTTGGATGATTTGATTCAGACTCAACCAAAGCCGTACCATTCAACCAATCAGATTACAGGTCAGTAACATCTGAACTTCTGAACGTTTTAATACAAATGTTCTTATTATTAGTTTTCATTGAGAAAACTTTTGTGACAGTATTACCACTGGAGGGAGCCATTGCTAAAATATCTTCTCTTACAATTTACTGTATTGATTTTGAAAAACAGAATAAAATGTAATATCTCATTATACAAATAATTTAATCCAAATGTGTATGATTTAAGATGAAAACAATTAGAACAAATGCATATGTATTGTATGTAAATGTATATTGTATGTTAATGAACAAGTTAGTTATGAGTGAAAATCCCAAATTAAAATTTTAAATATTGCGCTACAATTATTGAAAAATAAATTAAGATATCTTTGAAATATAGAGGTTTAAATATCAGTATACTCTGCTTTATAATGTCGATCATATTTAATGGATCTTGTTTATGGAGACACTTCTCATTTCCATTAGGGGGTGCTGTTTTGTTATAGCTTTAAATACATTTTAGGAACAGCTAAAGATTACTTACAGTCTACTCAGTACATCGTCTGAACATCACATCAACTTTGTGTTATATAAAGGTGATTTAATGGAAAGACATGTAAGAAGAAGCAGTCATTTTACTGAATTTATCAAAATGTCACATACTGTTGTGGAGTCAAATAACAAGAAAAATGTAAATCAGGTTATCTCAACAGATATTTTTTCTTCTAAAATATACATAATAATTAATGTAATTTTGACCTGTGCAGACATAGCATCACACCTTCAGTGAGAGAAAACTTTCAACTTTTTTTTATACAGAAACAGTCCAGTGGTGTCACAGCATTCAGTATTATTCCCATATTCCTATTTACTCAAGTCACTTGTTTTATAAGGTTATCCTGAACTGCAGCACTGTCTTTGGGCTTTTGGGGTTTTCCACCTTTCCCCCTGTAGAAAAAAAACAACAACAGAGAAATAGTCGACCATTAGCTGACTTAGTGTGAACAAACTCCAATTACAATATGTAATTAATGCAAAAAGAGCTTGAATGAAGTGGCATATGAAGGGACGAACTCTGGAAATTTAAACTCATAGGTAATATTTGCTATAATAAGCATAGAGAAAATGGAATAGCAAATACAAATCCATTTTAATTTGTGTGTTATATTCTAAAACTAATGTAAAACCAGAGTTGAATGATCAAAAAAAGATTTGTTAAAGATTTTTATTGCCCTTGGAATCAACTATTGAAAACAGTAAGTAAGCAGTAAGTCTGGGGAGAGCCATTTTTCATCAAAAGAAATATACAGTTAATATAAGTATAACTTGCACACATAATCAATAGTGTAGTATAAATGATATAGTTTCTCATATAATGGAGATCATATAAGAAAAACTCACCTGTCCTCCACATCCTGGATGGTGTCTGGCAGTGAGCAGCCCAAAGTCTCAGGGAGGAACATGGCTGCGGCTCCAGTGAGGATGGGAGCCCCTCCATAGATCAGACCAGGCAGCCATGTGATGTAGTCCCCACCCAGCAGCACCATTGGGGCAACCATAGCCCCTACACGTGCCATCATCGAGGCAAGACCCATCCCATTCTGACTGTAAATGCAAATGAAACATGTTAGTAGAGAGCAACACAATTTTATGTACCATTATTACATGTTTTATTTAAAGGTGCAGCACGCCTTCAACTGATCACAACCTGGTGGGGAGTTGGATCTCCTGGGGGGCAGAGGCTGGAAAGATCTGACAGATCCAAGCATAGGGTCTGTTAGGAAAATCTGGTGAGCCCTCTATCAGCAGGGCCTTCAGCTCATACCTCTGGAAGAACTTCTCCCAGATCAAAGTTCAAAGTTCAAAGTTAGTTTTATTGTCAATTTCTTCACATGTACTAGACATACAAAGGAAACAAAATTACATTTCTCTCTGTCCCATGCGTAGACAGCAACTAGGAGAGTGAGAGGCTGCTACTTCTGCACTTGCCACCATTCAAATCATAATCCCCTTCAAGTTTTGCTGCAGCAAACTGTTGCAGTTTCGTGGCCTTTGTGTCTCAGTCAAAGGTCTCAGTGCGGTTTAACAGGAGGGCTGGTCAGGGAGGGTCAGCAGATCTGTGTCAGGGCAGTTTGAGGAGAAGAGCCAAAAATGCCCCTGCTCTGTTTCCAGCAGCATTACAGCAGCCTCCAGGGGGAGCCAGATAAACACAACAGGAAAGTCTCATCATTACTCTGCTGTGGTGTTTCTGTTGGGGATAAAATAGTCCATTCTCTCAAAGTGTTTTCTCTGGAAGATCTTCTGCCACATTTGCAGCCACATATGGTGTAAAAAAAAAAGCTTGTAGCATCTCAAGTGTCCATAGTTAGCTCCTTAGCTAGCTTCTTGCACAGTCTCCATGGATACGAGAAAAAGAAGCAGTTCATTTCACAATCCAACAGTCCCTTGTGTTTATTCTCTCAAAGTATTTCCTCTAAAGATCTTCTGCCACATTTGCTGCCACATATGACGTAAGAAACCTGTAACAACTTAAATGTCCAAATCCTGGGGAAGACTGGGAAGTTGGAACATGAAGTCTGAGTGGACCATATGCTCTACCTCCATTGTAGATGTGACCTCTTGTAGCTGCGGTCGTAAGGTCTGAGGTGCTTTTTGCAGCAGCAACCCCCGAACCTGGTGGTAGATGCCATGAGGCTGAAGAAGGAGTCCTGTCAAGCCTTGTTGGCTTGTAGGACTCCTAAGACAGCTGCCAGGTACTTACGGGCCAAGCGTGCTGCAGCTCGTGCAGTGCAGAGGCAAAAATCTGAGGTTGGGTTGTTTGGGGAGGGCACTGAGGAGCACTACTGGTTGGCCTCAAAGAAATTCTGGCAAACTATCTGACACCTCAGGAGAGTAAATCCACCAACACAGTTTGCAGTGCGGGTGGAGGGGTGTTGACCTTGACTGGGGATATTGTGAAACTGCAGAAGGAATACTTTGAGGATCTCCTCAAGCCTTATTCTATAAAAGAGGAAGCAGAGACTGAGGACTGGCTGACACACTCCTGTAGCATCGTGTGGCCATTGGGGACAGTGCCTCTGGACTGGCAGATCGGGGTGGTGGTCCCTATGTTTAAGAAGGGATGTGGTCGCTGTATAGGACAATTGTGGTGAAAAAGGAGCTGAGCTGAAAGGCAATCTACATTCCGACCCTCACCTATGGTCATAAGCTCTGGGTAATGACCGAAAGGTCACGGATACAAGAGGTTGAAAATGAGTTTCCTCCGCAGAGTGGCAGGGCGCCCCCTTAGAGACAGGGTAAGGAGCTCAGTCACACAGGAGGAGCTCAGAGCACTGTATTTTTAGTAGTATAATAATTATTTATAGGTTTATTGCCATACTGTGAAATAGTCCAGTTAAAGCAATAACATGGAGTAGTTTAAAACAAGGAGGACCAATGGTGTATTTCAAACAATTATTCGCTCTAATCTCTCACTAAATAACATCTTAATTTATTTTGCATTTACCCTTACATTGCACTTTGCAAATGTATCCTACCACACTGTGCATATCTTTTCGATCATGTTATTAATGCATTGGTCAACTGTAACTGCATCTGTATGCCTACATATTAACAATAAAGTTATTTTAAGATGTTTTTTATTGTGTCTGTTGTGTGTTGTCTGGTGAAAGCCTATACTGTCTGTCTCCCACAACTATTAGTTATTGCAAGTTTTTCAATTGATAACACTTTCTAATAGGGCTGGGCAAAAATATTTTTTTTAATCGCGATTAATCGCATGAGTTCGAGCAATTAATCGCGATTAATCGCATGTTATACGCAAAACCAATTAATGAATTAAAAAGTAGAGTATAGCGCTCTTTTGTTGTAAATGTAAATGAAAGAGCTATACATTTGTTGTGCAAACAGCATTTCTTTCACAGGGGAATCCTCAGAGCCTTCAAGGTATTCAGGGAAGGCACAAGAAAAAATATTGAATGGACGTTTGTACTACTAATATATTTATTGAATATTTTTTATGCCGTGAGTAATGAACACTACAGTAGTAATAATTTCTAGATCAGTGTTATAAACTTGGACTGATATTTTTTAGGAAACAAAGGGTTAATATAATGGAATGGAAATGGACCAATCACATTTTTTCTTCCAATGGTATCTGGGTAAATCAGTGACTCCAGCACTGAACTAAAGAAATAAGCTCAGCCCAGAGCGCACGGCTGGTCCGGCCAGAGCCGGTGCCCGCGGCTGAACCCCCTGAGAAACAGACGTTTACAATAAAAATAAATAAATAAATTATAAAAACTGCGTTAACGGCGTTAAAATAATTGTCGGCGTTAATGACTTAATTAGTTAACGCAAAGCCCTACTTTCTAAAAAATAAATGTTAATTAGCTTTTAAAACATGAACAAAGATTTTATTCATACTGAACAACTAGTTTATTATCAGTGTTCAGGCTTAGTAACTACTTAACTATGCTTTATTTAAGTCTTTGTTCATGCTTTATTACAGCTAATTATGTTGTTGTTACTACAAAGGATTACCCTTATTTCTGAGCCTATGCATTTCGAAGACATATAAACAGTGTTCACTGCTTAAAGCTGTAAGTCCCATTCACACATCATAAATCAAACGGCAATCCAAAGTGCCGTCTTTGCGCTCTAATGCTGGGTCAGGACCCCCTAATGGATGCCTCCAGTGTCGTGTGAAGACGTGTGGAGCAGGTTTGGCTCAGAACTGTGTGTTATGAAACGGTTTAAGCACGGAGGAGGTCAGAGAGTTCAGATGTTGTGAGATTCATATGCAACTCTGTGTTAATGTTTGCCTCTATCAGAACTTCTACTTAGGATCAAACTAAACACACCATCACAATATGTAACCAGTATGTTGTTGTTTCTCAATAGTTTGATATGATCATTCCAGTGAATTGCATGGAACTGGTTGAATAGATGACATATTATTATTTTAGGTGACAAAAACAAAACAAACACAAGCTTTTAGTATGAAGGATAGTAATTTTCACTTTTTGTAACATTTCACTCTGCCATGAAAGCTGTTTGTTTGTTAGTCTCTCTATTTCTCAGAACAGAAAGTAATGGACAATAGTTTGAATGTGAAGTCACTGAGTGGGTACTTAATCTACAATTGCAATTGTGAAAAGGGGCAGCAATAAAAATTTAAACTTTTTTCTGACTCACTGGCTAAAGATTTTATTTGTTATGTTAAATGCCACTGATTAAAAGTCTGTCTTGTTTATGGTCATGAAACAAATATTGAAATACATTTTACTTTGTTTTTGAAAAGAAAAGACAAAATTAAATCAAAAGTTGAAATAAATATGAGCAAAAGAACGTGATTATTATTTTTTATTATATCACCCGGCCTTACTAACAGTCAGGATCTGGCCAATACATGTTTTTCTTGTGTTAAAAATTAATAATGTTTTGTCAGTGTGGCTGTGTGTTGTACTTTGTCTACTGCAGCTTCAACAAGTTATGTCATTTGTAGTTACTCACTGCCGTCTATAGGGGGATAGGCCTTATAGTTCCACTTCCACTTAAATGACACTGACTTTCTATTTATTTTGAATATTAGTTGTATGTGTAAAAGATTATTACCGTATGATGGTAGGGTAGAGCTCTCCAGTGTACAGGAAACAGGAGGTGAAGGAGGCGGCAAGACATCCCTTACCCAAAACTGCCAAAGATGTGTTCATGATGGGTTGATCTATACAAAGATATAAGGCTAAATTCCAAAACAAAAGCTCTTAAATATTCTGCATTCATTAAAGGTGCTCTATGTTACTTTTCTGTTGGAGAGTTCCTCACATCCTTGCCTCTGTGGAGATTATATCATTTTGCCAACAATGTTTCCCAGTATGGCAATAAACTAAATAAATAAACTATCTCCATGGAAAAAAGTAGGTGACTTTTGACTAGACCAGTTACAGGTCAGATCTGTGGAGAGGTGTACCCATTCACAGTAAGAGTGTATGATTTTCAAGATATTTTTTGACACTTTGGAGTTTGTGATGAAACAATTGCTGGTTAAATGCCATACTATGGAACATTCCAGGCAAAGCAATGCAACTTTTATAATGGCAAGTATAACCCTCATTTAAAACAGAGACTTTTATTTTGGCGGGTCCACTTCCTGTTGTGCTACCCCGAACTTTCCAGTTCACGTAATTTACTTCCGCTCCGTCTCCACTGTGGCGGTGGCATGGCCTGTTAACAAACCCGAACTCTCTAAAACTACGCATTTCACACAGCATTTTAAGGTGAGCCTTTTGCTAAGATATAAGTAACTACCACAGAAAATTACAACCGTGTAAACCGTCGCTAAAATGTTTTATTAAACAAAGTCGTTAACTACTCTTCTCAAATCCCCCATAGCACCTTCGTACGTGTTTACCAGTCGGACCGTGCACGGAGTGTAGCTTTATCCCGTGGAAAACTAGGTAGATACGTTTACAGTACTTATATTTGTTTACTATAAAGAAGCCGAATTGTAGGCAACACTTTAATGTAACTAAAAATTAAATACCTGGGACCGCCTTTAATGATTTTTGTCTAGTTTGAATACTTTATTTGGCTAATGCTAATTTGCCTGAGGAGTTTCGTATGGTGTCGAAACCAATTGAAATGTAGCTACTCTTTTTATTCCAGTCTTTGTTGTGCAACACTTTTACTTATGAACTCTGCCGGAGTATTTTGACCAGTATTTGGAATTAACATTTTGATTATTACAACTTGTCTTTAATAACATGATAGGGGCCGATATTTCACGTGGGCATGTGATACGTCGTTAAAAATCTTGGACTCTCTACATTTTGTTCATTTAATCCAATTTACAGACAGATAATTGTCCTAATGTGTGGCTCCACATCAGTATTTATCTGCGGAGTCATTTGTCTGTGTGTGTGTCCGTACTGTCTCTGAACACACCACAGAGTCGCGTCACTCACGTGTGTTTGTTTACACGCGCAGACACAGATCCAAACATTGAGATTATATTCTTTTTACGGACAATCGGTTTGAGTCTGGATTAAAAGGACATTTATTAGTGCAGACTTGTGATGTGAGGAGGAGCCTGTGTGAGCGGTGAGTGTTGGAAATATGTCGACTTTGAAGCTAGTCCTGATTCAGTCCTGCTTTAGATGTGCTTTAGACCTGCTTGCAACTAAACAATCTGAAGAGCCGCTTGGGAGCCAAAAGAGCCGGTTCTCTAAAAAGAACTGGAATACCCATCACTAGTGTCTACAATGTGATGCAAAAATGCCATTAAGCCAACCTACTGTCTGTAAATATGATGTAAAGAGGCAGAATAACAATAAATGTTGCCTAAATAAACCCAATTTAAAATCCACCAGAGCCAAACCTAAGTTTTTTTTAAACAATTCAACATTTACAGTGAATTTTTACAACACTAAATATATCGGCGATTATATCGGCTATTGGCAGTTCCAACTCCCATTATATCGGTTTCATATCGGCCACAGCAAAATCCATATCGGTCGGGCTCTAGTTAATACCATGATTATGTATATTTTTTCCTCATGTATGTTTACACATGCATTGATTTCATTTGTTCATATTGGGTTTGATTATAATAGTATCAAGGTTATTTATTTTGAATGAAATATTTATTTATTTTTTTGGCCTTCCAGGTTTTTTTTTTTTTTTAATATGGAATCCACTTTCAATGGACTTTGACAAATCTCAACTCAACAAATAACCAGATGGCAAGCAGTAGGACAAACTGTTTCCCTTTTTCTTCTCTGCTTCTCGAACCATGAAATTGAAACGCTCAAACTGTGGATTATACCGATTGCGATTCTGGAATTGTGGATTAGACCGATTGTGATTCTTGAACTCTGGATTATACTGAATGTGATTCTCAAACTGTGGATTATACACTGATGAACTCTTGTGAAGAGAAACTGTTTATATATATATATATATATATATATATATATATATATATATATATATATATATATATAATAAAAAGGTTAAATTAGGTATACTGTGACTCACCATAAGGCACTAGCAGATTCACTAAAATGCAGATTCCCGCTAAGATCAGGGCTCCTGCCTGTGATGGCCTCCTGCCAAATCGACTCATGGTGATGGTGATGATGAGCTTCGCTGGGATATCAGCACAACCAAAGATGATCTGGATCAAGTACATGTCCACGCCAAACTTCTGTAGATCCAACGCAAGACCATAGTATGCAAAACTGGTGGAGAACCTACAGCAGTTACAAAACATAAATGTAAGTAACAATGTTTACTATGTATTACCTTGTTTCATTTAGTATGAGACTGTGTAAGTGGTATTGTGCCAATGTGTGTCTTTTTAAACTCTACCGGCTCATTTGCCTTTTGTTCAGAAATTGAATATTTATTCTGTATTATGTTTTATAGAAGCCCTTCCAACACATGCCTCTTTAGTAATACAAGCAGACTGTGTAAGACTACGAAGTGTAAATAGCGGTCATGAACTTTTCTGGTAGAGGGTCCAAACCTGCTCGTCTCCATGGAGATGTAACAGCTTTGACTGGAATGGTACCGTGGAATTTCATCATATCCATCTCCACGGAGACAAGCAGGGGACACCATAAGGCCAATTTGCAGGTGAGATCTGTTGGGAAGATACTGATGACACTTTCTTTATTTTAATGGTGTAATGTGCTTTGTTGACCTATTTGTGTGATGTTTATTGTTTTTTATCTTGTTTTAATGTTGTACAGCACTTTGGTCGGCTTTGGTCGTTCGAAGGTGCTATAGAACTAAGGTCTGATTGACTGATTGATTATAAATCTAATAATAGTAAAATTTTCTACTCCAAAAGAAGGTTATCAGACTTGGTAATCAAGTGAATTACTAGGCGCCAACAAATCTTTTTTGTGAAGCTTGATCTTGTTGACTTGTGCACAGACGTAGTGATGTACAAGGCCTATAATCATATGCTCCCTCCTTGTTTACAGGAGTTATTTGGGCAGAGAAAAGTTAGTATAACCTTAGAACAATAGGTGTATAAAAAAAAAATACAATAAGATATTGTAATTCTGAGTATATGGAACAATCTGAATGATGATTGTAAAAAGTGCAATACTGTAGAAGCCTTCAAAAAGGGGTATAAAGCAGTGGCGGCTCCTAACTTGACCTAGATAAATTAATAAAGTTGATACTTTTTGTTAGGCTATATGTTTTATATTTTGTTTAAAATTTAATGTGTATATGCATCGACATATTTTTATAATGTTAAATGTTGTCATATCACTTAAATTTGATTCATGTGTTTGCCGTTTGAGTGCGCTGGGTTATCGTCAGAGCGAACTCAATGGAGTTCTATGGGGGAACCTGAAGTTTTGAGAAAATTTTATGTCAAATCCAGTTCCTGCCCATTTCTTTACATTACAGCCCTGATGTTTGTCTTGAAAGGGGATAGCTTTGGTAGCTTGTCCGATGGCTCTTATTTTGATTCTCACTGGCTAGGTACTTTTGCCTAAACCTCCAGAGAGCACATGGGACAGACTCTACAGCCTCGCTCATCTGAAAAGCGCGCACACAGATACAGCTCTGGAGTGCGTGCGGGGGAAAAGCCCCACAGCCCCGGAACAGGGAACTGCATCACTCACTGTTCACTGCAGAAAAGTTACACCTGGGCATAGAGCACAGAGGGCTTATGTCTATCTCTATCTATATTATATGCCACCACTGGTATAAAGTATTATTTTTTTGAAAGCTATAGAGCCCTGGAATGATTAAATTTTGCTTGTTTGTTTTTATTTGTTTTTAGTTTTTCTCTTAGTCTAGTGAAACTGTAAACTTGCAGTTCGTATGCTACTTTTCTTTCTTGGAATTCTGTCATTGTTTAACAAGGTTAAGAACATTTTACTTCAGCCTAAACCCTTGTGATCATGTCATTGGGTTGTAGCCTGTCATTGAAGTGCAGTTGGTGGAAACCCTCACCAGAAGTTACATGGCACCTTTAACATACAGCAGTATTACGTACCATACTGCTGCAAGGCTTAGAGTCATTCTTCTCATGGTGGGAGTCTTGAAGAGATCCAGGATGGTGTATGTCCCCTTTGAATTGGACATCTCCTTCTGCATGGACTCCTGCACCACCTGTTAAATACAATACAAGTAAATAAAACACAAATTAGTATCTTTTGTTGTTTCTTCCATAGCCTGTTGTGGTTTACCTTGAGGTCAATTTTCTCTCCCTCTTCACGTCGTCCATTTATTCTGGCAACACTCTTGAGATTTTTGATGGCTTTCTCAGGTTGGTGGTTCAGGACTAACCATCTGGAGGATTCATGAAGCCACCTTCACAATACAGTACACTGTTAGTTCAATGAAATGTCAAATGAAGTGTCTCTAATTGACAGCCACTGGTTGTACTTTAATGAATGCATTTTGGATTTATGTACTGTATTTTCATGCTGTTTACAAGTATTAATGTAATTCTAGCTACATAAAAGATGAGGTTAAGGTTCACTGAAGTGACACATCTCATTTTTGGCTTGTTGAACCAAGCCTTATTTTACATCATTAGAGCTAAACAGTCACTAAACCTTGGTGAGTGCTGTAGACTGTGAACCAAACTTTGCTTATAAAGGGACCATAGCAAAATGTTATATTTATATTATTATATTATAAGTATTCATTCACAACATTAATTATTGGTGATAGAACATCACATTTACCACATGTGATTATGCAAATCTTAGTCATTGTTGTCTGTAGAGTGGAAACAAATCGACAGTGTGGATTTTATACTAGATCTCACCATGAAACGAGGAAGAAACCATAGAAAGGCAGAGACACAGCCAAAGTCAGCCACCTCCAATCCCGAACAAAGTAAGCGATGAGTGCCCAAAGGAGCTGTCCAACAGTATAGCAGTACCCTGCTAATGTGCCGGTCACTGTCCGAACACGCGTCGGGATCCACTCCACAACTGTAACAAGAGTCACAGTTTATGTGTTGACTTTGACTTTAAAGGTGATCCATGTAACTTCTGTTTTTCATGTGCGCCAGCTGATTGTCTTCATTGAGATGTTAATACTTTGTCCATTGGCATTAAAGAGGCTGTACCAGATTTTTTTTTTCCATTTACTTGAGAAAAATATATATATTGTATAAATCTTGAGGTCCAAATGAGACTACTGGGTGCTGTCTGCATTTAATTGTAAGAGTTGTGAGCATTTAATTACATACATTGGCACATTCTAGTCAAAGCAGTAGAGATCATCCCCATGGAGGCCTGCATCAGAAAAGTTACATACTGCTAGGCCTGTTAATGAATGGCTATCTTACTGAGAGAAAAAGTGTTGAGGCTTTGCCCAGACAGAGCCATGCCGCAGCCGAAACGAAAGAGGCAGAAGAGAGAAAAGGTGGTGGAGAAGGCCGCACACGTGCCGCTCACCGCCATGAGCAGGTAGGACACGATCAGCAGCATGCGCCGACCATATCTGTGGACAAGACAAACAGTTACAGCTCTGAGTGGCATTTAAAGACAACATTTTCAGCTATTCAAAATAAATGATTTACAATGAAAATAAATATATTTTAAAAAGCGCACCAGTTCTTAAACTAAAATTGACCCTTAGTAGTTGGCCACTATGAATAAATATTTGGCTTAATGATTTAAGCTACAATCATTGGAAAAAAAAGTATCTCATGAGGAGCACGTGGTTTATGAATTGCAACGAAAGGCTATTAGACATAAACATAAAATAATAATCTTTCTGTTTTCTTAATTTATTTTGAAGGCCAAAAATCTCTGCTCCTCCTGACTCTCATGTCACTATATTTGCGTTTCAGCCTTGTTCTCTGCACCAGCCCCTCCCCTCCCTCTGATAAAAAGTGCACTCTCCTCTCCATTTTTAGTCACTAAACATATTACAAAACTTAATAATGTCTAGATGTGTAATTTACTCAAGTTAAGGAGATACGTTTTTGAAAAGATCGCAGTAGCATGAGAGATTTACGAGTGTATTTGATTAACATGGGTAAAAGCGGTTTTGTAGTATTTAAAAGTTAATATTTATGTCAATTCTGAGTCTTGTAACGTAACAAAAAGAGACTGAAAGATAAAACTCACATCTGTTCGAATATAGCAGCACTGAGGCTGTCTACTTTCTGAATCTAAGAAAGGACCCCAGGCTTGCCCTTTTTCTACCCATGACAACACAGTGTGCATGGAGGGACACGCGAGACTCGAACGCAATACGGAATTGAATCAAAACACCAGAATGAAACTATTCAATCTTTTTTTTTTTTTTTTTTTTTTTTTCATAATCGTTCCATCCCTGATCAAAACACAACACTGAGCTGAGCTTGAGGGAGAACCATAAAACCGGATAACCCTGGCTTTTCTGAATGACTATCCACTAGATTAAAAATATATATATATAGATGTAGAGATGTAGAGGGATGGCTTGACAGATATAGATGGATAGATCGAACGAAATGTTAAAATCCTGTAAATATGAATACATATAATAGTAATGCTCTTTTGACAACTGCATATGACTTACCTGTCTGACAGACTTCCAAAGAGGAAGGCCCCCACCAGGACTCCTCCCATGTACACAGTTTGAGACATCTGCTTCAGGGATCGCATGTCACACACCATGTTCCACTGTAGAAACATAATACAATTATAAATGTACACAAATATGTTAGTGTATTTTATGTTTTAGTGTGTTCTTACATCTGATATAATACTAGAGTCCCTCTCATTCATGTTGTAAGTCCACCCATCTGTACAGTCCTGCAGCTCAACCTCTTTCACCGATAGCTCTTCTGCTGCTGCAATACTGTTGTTATCCAGCAGGTGCCACTGTGGAGAGGCATATCTCTGGCATCTCTGCGGTCTCCCCATTTTATCCAGGGGCACAGTGACAAGCAGGGTGTCCTCTGGGCTCAGTGGTCTTTGGGACAGGTTAGTGGGCGGGGAACAGTGGTGAGAGGGGACATAAGCTACAAAGTTTTGCAGCAGGTTGTGGCTGGCCATCATCATGACTGGTATAGCCAAAAGAGTCACATGCACAATCTGAAAGCGTCCTGTACTGCCCACTGTCTCCAGGAGGTCCCCAAATGCCATGGTTCTGACCCAAAGAAGAGAAGTTTAATCCAGTATAGTCAAGCTGGGAAAAGAGAAGGTAGTTAATAAGATGTTTTTCTTAAAAACACTTTTGGAACAGAAACACATGCCACAATGCCAATACTATGTTTGGCTTGTTTAAAATATTTCACTAATTACAGTTTTTCCAGTGGTTTTAGCAGACCTTTGAAACTTGGTTTAACTTGATCATTTTATTCAAACATGTAGCTGAACAGGGGCTCAGGTGGTCATATCATCAATTCACACAGTTCTCAGGCTCTTTCTCAGAACACTTGACACAGCTTTCATTCAGAAATATTTTCATTATTATAGGTTTGTTCTCAGGGGACTAGGGACACTCAAACATAATGGCAAATCAAAATTTGTGAGCACTAAAATCTAACAGGAAAGGATTTCACACGTGTCAAACAGGGAGGAGGGTCTCAGCATCAAGAACACATTACATATTACAGTAGAAAAGTGCTGCTGTTGTATTTGCTATTCCACCATTTGATCTACTACTGCAAAATCTACTTTGAAATTGGTAATGTACCTTTATATTTTACATAATGCAATACAGACAGGTTTTAGACAAAAAAGCAAAGCTTTTCCAGTCCAAAATTCATCTGGGTAAAGTATTAACCCCAGTGGCAGACTTGCACTATACTATTGATTCTCTGTGGTCACTGATAGTAAGAGTAAAGCTCTGAGTTGCACTGCTGAATGAAAGAGAACAGAAAAACACATGAGCACAGTTTGAGAGTTTTGATGGTAAAACTTGCTTTTGGTGGGAGGAGTTATCAGTTTTGAATATAAAACTTTATTTTGCTGAGCTTAAATTTAGTTTAGGAAAACTAACCCTGTTTGGGATTCTCTGTGAGCTGTTTTGCAAATGTCAATTTTCAATACAGAATTGAGTCAAAGCATTTTTCAAATGGATGAAAACTACTTCCACTTAAAATACACCACAGAATAAGTAAGATATTATTATGCAAATGTGAAATGCAAAAATTTATTTGGCATGGTAGTGTATCAACCCTCTAACATAAAAATATGCTGAGTGAAGTTGCTAATTCTGTTAATAGTGTTCAGAATAACGATGAAAACAACCCCCTTATAAAACTTACCTGCTGTAATAGGCTTCATAAATACAGTCGCTCTCCAATGGCCTCTGAATGGATGGAGGTTTCTTCATTAACAGACTTCACACACCTTGGCACTCATCAAAAGCTTGGTTCCATGCAGTTTTACAAAAGAGAAGTGAACTTATGGGCTGCTCTTGTAGTGAGTCCCAGTAAATCGGCTCTTGGATTCCTGTTGTTCTGCTGAACTTTGGATTAGAACTGTGGTGTTACCTCTTACAGACTTAGCAGCTCGCGGTATGGCCTCTCTCTGCAGCAGCACTTCACTGCAACAGCCTTTACTTGCACTGACACTAATTATTTACTTAAAATGACAACTGACCCGGGGAATGGTGAACCTTTATTAAAGTGATCTTTCTATAGCAACAATAACACAATCCTGACAATACAAATGTTTTATGCATCCTACATACTTACTGTTTGTGCTGTACGTTTTGCTATATGTTTTAATACAATTGCTACGCAACTATGAATGTTACAACATATCTCCTTAAATGCATGCTGGACATTGAATCCCCAATGCAGAGAAACTAGTTAACTAGTTCATTTTGTTCAGCTATTTATCTTTAAAATATATATATATTTTTCAATGTTTGTGTTTTTCTTTCCATTTTTCAATAAAAAGTGTGAAGGAATGAGTGTGCTTGTGTATGGAGCAGCATGAGATGCCGGGCCAAATCCCTCCAGAGGTGCACCAAAGCAAAACACCACAATGTCAGTTTTTGCAGCTGGTCCACTCACTATCCTTGTTGTTAAAGTTTCAATAAATTATATAAGGAGATAAACCTTTTTAGCTGTGTTATTATTTTGGATAGAACTATTTGTTGCAAGTAGTCTGAGCTCTGTAAGAAAATAAATTGTAGAGACAAAAATGATACTACTTTCTTTCTCTAAAAAACTATAAAAATGTATATGTTACATATAAAGTATATACTTCTGTTCAGTACTCAGTGTCAAACCCATTAGACAAAAAAGGAAAGTTCCTTCCTGATTTGAGGGGGTCAGCATGGCAACAGTCCTTTGTTGTTAAAGTATTAAGGCAATTATTATAATAGTTAGAATGAATAAAAATAATATATTTTAAACAAAGGATGGTCTTCACAAAATACTTCAGATCAGGAATCATTTGCCCGATTGATCATGTGTTACCATATACATTATATCGATTGCATAATTTAAGTTTGATATTGCAACACGTTTTGGGCCAACATTAGCCACTAAAATGTATAACTATTACACTAATTTATAGACGAACATGGGATATCAATGGAACTGATGAATTGAAGCCGATATCCATTCCACCAAAAATTTCAATATTTGCACAAATATCCAAAACCAGTATCATATTGGTGCATCCCTACATCTTTGTAGTATAAATTCAAGTTTGCATAAAACATAACCTTGTCTTAGTTGGCCCACCTGAACGTAGACTGAGTTTGCAGAGGTGGACTGTACACCCGTCAAAACATAAAATTAGGTCTAAACATAAAACACTTCAGGCTGGTCAGAAATCTGAATGAATGGAAGAGCACATAAAACCACATGACCCAAGTCTGAGAATTTTGATGCTAAAACTTGCTTTTGGGAGATGATGAGTTTTGAATGAAAAACTGCATTTTGCTGAGATTAAATTTAGTTTTGGAAAACTAAAATCCTGTTTACGATTTTGTGTGAACTAGGCTACATAAAAGTGCCAAAGTGATTGAAAAAAACTGCAGATGTTTGGCATGGTTTGCATATGAGCCTAATATGATTGTTTATTGCAACAGTAATGCACATAAATAACAACAAATGCACATAGACAACCACAAATGACAAAATGCTTTCTATGTGAAATACATGTGCAGTGTCATTGGCCCCAAACAGACTGCACGTGTTTACGCACAAACTCAAAGAAATGCAGAGATGTGGATGACTGATGCCAACTGCTGGAGAATATTTGCAATTTCTATAAGTTACAAGTTTTACATTCACAATTTGGGTATCACTATTATTGATCATTCTACTGTACCTTTTTGTGCCAGTAATAATGACAGTATGTGTCATTATATCCACAATTCTTCATAAATACACAATGTTTTGATACATTACAGCAGTTCCTTATTTAGGTTGGGTAGATGCAAGACTCCACTTTGACCTTCTGAATTGCCTTGATAAGAGTTGTTTCATGATAAAGTCTCTGCGGTAGACCTCCACAGCTTTATCAGATTTTATCATTCTTGTTTTGTCGCCTCATTTAAGTGGAACCATACATAGAATCAGCATGTGGACATGTGCAGGCAGGACTAGTCAAACATTTGTTCAGAGGGACTTTGAATCTCTCAGTTTAGTGTTGTATTTACTGCCTTGTGTAAGTCCTCACCTGGATTAAGGCCTGTGGGTTTTCTGTGATGCCCTGACCTTTCACTTTCCTGCACTGATAATGTCTGAGTAGCTGCGAGAAATACACCAATGTAAGACAAGATCCTTATATAGTATATATATATATATATATATATATATATATATATATATATATATATATATATATATATATATATGTTGGTATGGGTGGTCAGTGTTCAACTCCACCGGGGACTATGAGTATGCCAAGAGATACAGAGCAATGCACATAGGGGCAGAGACCAGTGCCAGCTGTGACCAGTGTGTTCTGTGTATCACTTGTCAGACAGTAGATTAGGGCTATTAGCAGTTATTTGAGGTGCACACTGCCAGTTTTGGTCCGTTGAGCACCAACAGCACAATACTGTAGCAGTACTCCACCATCGTAGTCTAAGGCCCGGATGTCCTGTCGTCTCTCATACTGGCCTATAGCCTCGTTTGAACTGGCATGGTTTAGTTAGGGCTGCCCTGGGCCGGGCCAGTTAGGAGGGGACGATACCCACCAGGGAAGCATTTCCATTACAATCGGCCCATGCTGCTTTGGCCGTGACACAGGTCTAGCAACACACACCCAGTGGCATGATACAGGGTTGTAGCATCACAGTGAAAAAAGCACATTATAGGTTTTTTGTAGGGCCCTTCATTGCACCCCCCCATTCGATGCTCCTGGCGTGACATAAGCATGTGAGCGGCTGGGCAGGTATTCAAAGACCAAGGCTGAAGTTTAATTCATGTTATCTGTTTGGCTTCAACTTAAGGTGGACACTCAATTGTGCGACCTGATATGGATTTATTATTTGGCACAACACTTTGACTATTAGACACTGTAAAGGCCCCACACTGTAGACTTGCGGATTCTGTTTTGCTTTAATGACAAAATATGAGTGCTGTTTGTACCATTTGTTTGTGCAGAGCTCAGTCATGATGAGTGAGCACCTGGGCTGTTGTTAAGTAACTGTTACGAGGTTTGCACTACTTATGTTTTGCTACGTGTATGCCACTACTGTCATGCTGCTGGTCCTCCAATGACTGCGTGGAGGCGTGTCTAGCCCTGTCCCCTATGAACCGGTCCCAGATCCTAATTGTGCCACGTACCGCCCCGTACCGCCCCGTACCACCCTGTACCGACTTTTGTGTTCTGAAGTCTACAGGTGACCTGATGCGTGTGCCTGAGGAGGACCTGCTGGAGAGTAGCTGTTCATTGTTGTAGAGATTATTTGCATTTAAACTTTTTTCTTTTTTAGCTCACTTATTTTTTATTGACTTGTAGTATTTTATCCACAAGCTTTTAACCATTTATTAGCATTTTTATCATTTTAATCAACATTTTTGGAATAAATGTGATTGTTAAACCGGTCCTGCTCTTGTCCTCCTTGACAACAGTTAGTGTGCTCTAACCCAGTCACAAATCACATTTACAGTAAGTTCTGGCTTCATTCATATTTCCCCTATTTTCAAACATGGCCATAACCCTCACATGTAGAACAATATTAATAATTTTTCTTTTTAAAATCCTTATAGCACACTGATTTGTTTTGGGAAGGTTCCTGCTCCTACACTCAGCTTGCAAATTCTCAGTACGGCACCAGTTTAGAGAAATGAGGATATTGTGTCTACATGGCACCTGGATACTATCAGAATATCCCATTGAGAATATCCAGATTTTTCCTAACCTTGACCGGGATCCTTGAGTGCATGTATACACATTCCTGAAAACTTGGAAGTATTTTTTTCTGTTTCTTGACAATTTCGCAATAATATTTTTGCTAAATTATACTGTAATTTTCAAACACAGAAAATCAGTCAGCCTCTTAAGTTTGTAACAGCATTTCTGATTTTATTTCAGAAAGGGTCTGAGATTAAATTATATTTTCAATAAAAAAATCACCAGTAAACTCAATGTAAATGTATCACCTTGTCACTTGTAAAATGTAACACCTTGTCACTTGTTTAAACGAGTACTTTCTGTATAACTGTAAATGTGCCACTCTGGAAAATGTAAACTGGTTGGCTTGTATTCTGATGCATTCAAGGTCAGAAAAAACAGTTGGAAAACAGGGATCTTGTGTTTCTCACACATCTGGAGCAGGCAGTTTCTCCAGTGTGGGCTCCATTCCCCAGATCTCGCGGGCATACTGAGCGATGGTGCGGTCACTGGAGAACTTGCCACAGCCGGCAATGTTCATAATCACCTTCTTGGTCCATTCCTTGGGGTTCTAGGGAACAGAAACAAACAATAAACCATCAAAGACCGTTTGATACCCAATGACTCTTGATCTGTAGTAGCAGTGGACGGTATATAGAAGTCTTATAATGTTCAAATTCCGCTTTACACTGTACATTATAACAACACTATTAGTTTTACTAGTTTAGTCAAGGTTTTGTCATGGCTAGTCCAATAAAGGGGCACTATGTAACTTTTCTGGTCCTTGTTTTCATGGAGATGTTTTTGCATTGCCTGAAATGTTCCACAATATGTAATTAAATATATCCATCTTGAAGGTCAGATCTGTGGAGAGGCGAGCTGATGCTCATAAAAACAATGCATGTTTTTATTTTTGTGCTAAAGCCATTGTAATTGAATAAAAGAAAGACCAGTTTTAATACCATACTGTGGAACATTCTTAGCAGACAGACCTAGCAACACCAGGTATGTAGTGCACCTTTAATAAGAAGTATTTCACATTTTAGTTCAAACCGGGAAGCTTTAATACAGCTAGAACAGGTTTATTTTAAGTTAATGTAGAACTTTTTTTTGTTTTTTGTTTTAATTCTAAATAATTTCACTCATGCAAAGAAAAGGTGTTTAGATTTAAAACAATGAAATTAACATGACATTTATATTTCAACTTGGAACCAGTCGTTGCCAGTGGAGAAAAGCCAGGTTAAATAATATTCCCTGAGGCTGTAAAATTGTTTCATAAGTGATCATACCT